GAAGCCTCGGGGGCTCCTACACCCAGCCAGAAAGAAGAGCTGTTGGTGTGAGCACTCTGTGTGTCTGTGATCTGTGTGGCCAGTGGTGTATATGTTTGGGAGGAGGGGAGGGTGTGTATCAGCCTGCTGGGAGTAGATTTTTCAGCCTTGCTGCTGGTTGGACCTGGGCACGGAGCTGTGGCTGCCTGGTCTCTCAGCTGTCAGATCCAGCATGATATGTCTTCTTCTACCAGAGCAGTCTATAATTACCAACACTGGGTGGTCTCTGTAATGACATGGTGTTTTCATTGCCTGTAACTGTATCAGACATATCTCTTTATTAACAATTATTCATTTTTCAGACTGTCTATTTGATTGTTCAGAAAAAATGAAGAAGCTTTTTCTCTGAGTGAGGAATAGAAAATATCTCTGGTTTTGCCTGACTTCAGAGCTTTAAACATTCTCCGGTTCTTGGCGCACATGCATTTGTGATGAAAGTTGTTAGGGTTTATGCAACAGCAGCTTTGCCTGTAGCCTTGGAATATAGAGGAAAAAGTCTTAATCCCTCAGAAATGTAAATAGGTCTCGGGCCATACTCTTGAAGATTAAAACCATCACTGCTTATACCTTCGTGCTAAGGTAAATCTGCAGGTAAGATTGGTTGGCCAAAAAGAATTGCCACAGCAAGTTTTAAGTGATGCTTGCTATAAAAGATGCCAGAATGATGACAGTATTCTTAAATGTGTCCCTGTCCCCAGTTTTCCCTCCTGTCAGTCCCCCAGGGTTTGGATGGTTCTCATGTGAAAGTTGAGTGCTGCATTCCCTTTGCCCATGCTGCTGCTCTTGGAGTTGAAGCTGGCAGCCACAGGACTGTTTGTATTGTAACCAAGCTGTAAAAACGAAGAGAGCGAGGAATGCAGAGTCCCGAGAGGCCTCTAAAAGCAAATGTAAAAACCTTGTTTGCATAGCTTCTAAGCTTTTGGCTTACTTGTGTAGAGGATATAAACTCAGTGAGTGGAAACATTATTTCAAAGAGGATCTGAGCATTTTTTTTCATTTGTCTGTGGAAGTCGAAAGGGCCTTGTAAAGGTGCAGCAAATAAAAGTGATGTTGAAAGACCAATATTAGGAAACAGTGTTTGATAAGAAGGTGTTGACTTAGAGGCTACTGAGACGGATGCCAGGTCAGTCTGATCTTTGATGTAACCAGAAGAAAAAAGAAAAGTCTCAAATACTTAATGACTTGTAGTTCCTACCAAAGTTAATAGAATCAGTGTCACCTTATTAATTTATTGTGATGTTTTCCCTAAAACTGAGTTGTAGCTGTTTAAAATATGTGCGTGTGTTTTATTAGTGCTTTGTAGCTCAGATACTTTGGTTTATTATTTTAATTATAAAATAATTACAGATTGCATATTATAATAATAATGACAGGCTTTTCATCTACCTCCTCGTCAGGCTTCTCAAAACAGAATCACTAAGTTTGGTAACTGTGGTAAGTAAAAGACACTTCTTTTTCCTCTTTCCTTCCCTTCATCGGGCATTGCTGTTTGAAGGCTCAGGACAACCTTTTATAAAGGCCATGTGTTCCTGTTATTATCACTAACAGACTACTCAGATAGCAAATTCTGGGTCTGGATAAAAAAATAAATTTTGCTGTAATTTTATGACCTATGTATGCAACATCTCCCATATTCCAGTGGCAGAGCCTGTGTTTCTTACCCTTTTTTTTTGTTCGTGGGGAGTAGCCCACACACCCCACTGCTCCTACCTGGGAAGGCAGCAGTAGCTGGCAAGGTTGCTGACCCTGTACTTAGCATCTAGGTGCAGGTAACTTGAACGGGTGACAGCTTACCTGGGCAGATACTCGCTTTCCGTGAATGCCTGTGTTGTTACTGGAGATGCAACATGTCCTCGCAGTCACCTATACGCTGAAAAAAAATCTGAAGTACCCCAAGCCCATCTGCTACTGAGATCCTACTAATAACCTTATATGAGAGAGAGAGAGAGAAAGCCTTCTGTGAGGAACCTTAAACCAATGTGCCATTAAAAAGACTAGCGCACAGAGAAGCGATACTATGATTTTTGGTGTGTTCCTGTGCTATTGTTTCTCTAGAAGTCTTGGACTCTTTCATTTGCCAAGCCCTTCAAATGCAAACTCTCAAAAGAAAAAGTTATGACCTGTGAATATTTGCATGGCTGTCTGGCACAGATCTCGGCTTTTGCTGGATGGTATGGTTTCCCCTTGGAAGAAAGGAATATATATATATATGTTGATCAGGGATTATTTACATGTTGTTTGAGAACTTGTGACTGATTCTGGAAGCTCGTTTAGGAATCTTTAGCGAAAGTATTGCTTGCTGGGAATTACTATAAAGTCAGGAAGTAATTCCGTGAGAGCTGGTTGTAAGTATAAAATATCAAAACTATATTCAAGCAGAACTGCAGAGTAAATGTAGAAAGAGTAGCTGCACATTGGTGTACATTACACTTGTACTTATTTAACACCAATTTGGGTTTTGTTACTAGGGAAAACCAAAGTGTGCCTAAAAGTAATGCAGACAGAAGAAAAAGTGTGTCTGTTTATAAAATGTCACCAGCCTATCCTAATGAATGAATCCACAATCACAGAAGTGAAGGGAGCCACATAAAGGCCATAACAAACTGAAGAAGGTTACATCTAGACTGACAGGTGTAGGCTGCTGAGTAACTGCATAAAATTTTCTCATTAGCTACTGAAGGGAAATCTCTACTGCTTATATTCATTCCCTGTTATGCACATGCAGAGTATGCATTTAAAGTAAGACCTCTTGTATTTGCTATGTAGACTTTCATAACCTACGTGGTAATAAACCACTGTTACAACCCGGACTGGGAGCCCAGGGAGTCATAAAGGTTCTGTCATCCCCTTGGGTTAAATTAAGGTGAAAAAACACCAAATTGGATTAAATTAAGGCGAAACAACAACAAACGACCAGTTTAAATGTTTTACTTGCAGTAGGAACAACTTAAATTTGTAAAAGGGTAGTAAGCAGTGTGGTCTCTTATTGGTAAATTTATAAGATAGAAAAGGAAAGGAGAGGAAGAGAAAGGAAAAGTCTGGTTCACCACCCAGGCTCCGGTGTTATCTTGGGTCCAGTTATCTTGGGTGGTGGGTGCACACGTAGCGAAGTTTTCTGTCGCCTCTTATGTTCAACTTTATCAGCTGATTAGCATACTAGACCAAGAGAGACAAGTATTTCAGGAACTCATGTCCATGAGAGATGAGGAAAAGATGGAGCGTGGGTTCTGCACACATGTTGAGGAGAAATGGGGTGCACCAACCCCCTTGTCCAGTTGAGTCGGTGATTGTGCTTGCCCCCTCACCGTTATTTTTTCCTCAGTTTTTGCTTAGGTCATTCTGGTGCTTGTTATCTATCTCTCTTATCTATCCTTCAACCTGAACATATGGTTTCACTCAGTCCCTGTTTCCCTCCCTTGAGGCTTATCTAAGGAGTTTGGCAATGCAGCCACAAGAGTGTGAAGCAGTGCACCCTTCGATACACTCCATGCTTCCTGGGGCAGCGTTCCTTAGCTAATCACAAAGGCCACAGCTTGCCAAAGTTTTCTGTGTAGATTAATGTTTGAGGCATTAATTCCTTCAGTTCCTTACAACCACTGTTAGATGTTTAGATCCCACCATTAACTTGTTAGGTCTTCACATGGACTTGCCATATAAATTGTTTGCTTTTCTTCTCAGACTCATTTCTGGTATTAGGTGATAACTCCACTTCTCTAGTCTCAATTTTGGCTTGACAATGAAATTGAACACTCAGCCTTTAATCTGTGACAAAACAGCAAAATCCTGTTGTGCTGATAATACCATAATAACATAATGGGACATGGCTTTCTTGAAGTTTGAGTTGAAGTTTGTGGGTCTGTTTTTGCACAGTCTACACACACACTTGTACTATCAAGATGATGATTGTGTTGCTCATGTATTCCCAGTGCCAGCAGCCATTCTGGTTCATCATAGCTGGGAGAGCTAAACAATAAATACCCTCTTTATTACCTCCTCCCTTGAGTTCCTCAAGCCTTCAGTCTTACCCGTGTCAGTGTTGTTAATGTTTAGCTTCCTATATTGGGTATTACGGGTAATTGCATAGCTTTCCTTTTCTGTCTTGCAGTTATTTTTGGTTGACATATATAGTCCCTTACAGTTAAATAACCAAATTGTTAGTTTATGCATTCAATTTATATAATAAATGGCTCACATTATATGTTCATTGGCTTTCCCATTAACTTCAACCCTGTACTGTAGAGCAGTTACTTAAGTTTTATTTGAGATTGAAATTAATTCATAAAGAGAACTGAAAGACTGACATTGCAGGAGTTATCTATAATTTGCATCATTTACACTCTCCAATGACTTTTTATGTGAGCATAGTTGTTTAATTGCTTTAGTGTTAGTCTGTCCAGTTTGTTCTAGAAGATGCTGGTAACGTAAAGGTTGGTAGTTTTGGCTGGTGGTGGATAGTCACAAAGATGGGGTCTTCCACTGTTACACAAAGCTAGTGCGTTTTGACAACTGGTAGTTGCAGTGATTTTACTGTCATCTGACTGCTTGCTCTTTTACTGGTGGTGTTTGACTGTGCTCAAAATAGGTCTGCTGTGGTTGAAAGACTTTAGGAAGAACCTAAGTGAAGTGACAGCAGGGAAGAGCATTCCCAAGGTGAAGTGATAGGGACTGTGCCTTTCAGTCTAGTACACCAGTTTTGCATACTTTATTTCTACTCTTCAGTTAGTATTGCAACTGTTGTATTTGCAACAGCTTTAATTGGTTTTAATACGTCAAAATGTTTCTTTTAATCTTGGTGCATAGGAATTTAAATTATCTTAAGAAAGTCAAGGTGATTTTGGTAGCCTCTTTATTGCTTAATTCATTACAGTGAAAAAGCTGTTCACTTTAATTACATAAACGCATAAAAGTGGGAAGTTCTTGTGTTCTGCAAGTCATAACTTTTTGCTTTTCCTTATATTTAGGAAGGCTGTGGAAGAGTTGCTTAAAGAGGCAAAACGTGGGAGAACCAGAGCTGAAACAATGGGAGCTATGGGTTGGTAAGTTGTGCTGAAAGGAAATGAATGTTTTGACCGATGTCAAAATAAATGTTACATTTAATGCATGACAGAAGTCTCTACCTTTTCATTTGCTTCATGTTTAAATAATTTGCCTTCATCCAGGTATTAATTTGTCTGGGCAAAAATTTGAGTCCAGATAAGAAAGAAGTTCAAGTAAATTCTGCCTGCATGAAATTGTATGTCTGAATGTGTTGAAGTCAACGCAGTTGGAAAACTAGGAGTACCTGCTGTAATAGTATTTCCTTATAATAGATAGAATTGCAAAGTTTGGATTGGAACCTTGTGAGTCTTTAAAATACCGGGTAGCTTCAGTGTGCATGTACTTACATACTGGCCATGTGTTCCGGGGTTAGATTCTGTTTAAGTTAAAAGAATTCATAGCCTGACAAAGAAACTTATATGCTTAAAACAATATAAATAATAAATGATCCTCTAATAGAGAATCCATGTGTAAATTGCAGCCAAAAATGAAGAAGTCAATATAATCCAATTTTGGAAGGAGGCATATTTTAACACTAAAAAAAAAAACCACTAAAACCCAGGGGCTAATTTGTATAGCAAGTGGGAAAAGAACCACAGTGTTTAAATATTAAATGAAATACAGTATTAATTCTTCAATGCAGTATTTCAGTTTTTACAGCTAGATTATCATGGAATGTAATGCATGTAATTGTAATTAAAGAAGTAATAACATGCTGAGAAGAGTCATTCATCTTAAAATAATGTATATGACTTTGATAAGAAGTTATTGGATCTAGGGATGTTCACACAAGTAGTGCACCAGTTGACTGCATTAAACGCACTTGTAGATAAGGTTTGGCTTCCACCAACAGTAGTAAAACATAAGCCTGCGCTGTTAATGAAGTTTTCAGCTGATTTCTTGGCTATGTTTGTTTTAGTAGCTTAGAAGAGATTAAAATAGCATCTGTCTGAAAAACGTTAATCCTTGATGTTTTCTTAACAAAGTTTGGGGTTTTGGTATATTATACCCAGTATTTCTGCTAGGGATGCAGTTTATATCATTTATGTTAAAATAGTTAAATTGGTTTAATCCCCTAGAGTGATTATAGCTATACTGATCTAGCCTGCTTTTAGCCTGTCAGCCTTGTCAGATGGCCAGGTAAACCAGTGCAGATGATTAGCACTGTAAAGTGGTGCATGCATCTAGTTACTGTGAATTTGCAAGTTAATTCCACATATGGAAACTGAAGATTTCTGTTGGGAGATAACCAAGTGTCCCCGTGCAGCTTCGCTGCCACTTGTGCAGTTTGGAATACCTGTCAGGAGTGTGTATGGGCTTCTACTCCTGACTCTAGATACTTCTTAGTCCTTGTCCATAAAAGAGTAGTGGTTCTGCTTAGCTGGCTATAATGATCAGCGTGGGGTAACGCGGTTTACTAAAGCCTGATGCCCAGGACCTGCCAGAGTAGGGGATAGCCAAGGCTGACCTGTTCTTCAGAAGAGCTGCAGATTCCACTAGAGTGAAATAGTGTCTGGCTAGGCCAAGGTTGTGTTAAAGGTGTAGGAGGAGAAGATTGTCAAGAAGACTTCAGGCAGAGGAAGACTGTTGACAGAGGGATTGGTGTGGTGATATCCTGAACTGAGACTGTTGAAGTAAGGATCCTTTCAACTGCAGCGGAACATGAGAATAGCTATACTGGGTCAAACAAAGGATCCTTCTCTGCAGTGCCCTGTCTCCACCAGTGGCTGATACTCAGTGTCTAGGAAATGGAGGAACAAAAGTACAAGAAAGTAACAGTACTTCCTCAAGGTACTATCCCAGCTTCGGGCAGTCTGCAGCTCAGGATATCCTGCACTCGGTTTATTTTTTTTATATATGATGTTTCTCCAGAGATTTTTCCCTATCTGAATTTATCCTTAGAGAGCCTGGTAGCAATCCCATTTGTCACAAATCTGCTGCTGTAGAGTTTGGCATAGGCTAGTGTACAGCTGGTATATGTGGTCGTAGGGAAGGTATAAAGTCCCCCATAGGCATAATCTCAGTAAGTCCTTGGTGTCTAGTTCTGCAAGTGCAAGAGATGGAACAGAGCTAGAAGCTGCCATTACTCTCTCCCCTTTAACATTTTTCATCTCTCATTGTACTGTTCTGGTCTTTCTGAACTGGCCCAATAACTAGGTATTGCATAGATATATGTGAGAGGTGAGGTAACCAGTAAGATATTTGGAAGGAAAGTTAACTATGCTCAGTTGACTGATCATACTCCAGCAAAATGCCATCAGACTTAACTGATGTTACAGTAAATCCTGAAGGGCTTCAGAAATTAGGTCCAAGACTGACATATAACTTTGCAGCTGTAAACTACTGAGAGGAAGGTAACTGCTGCTCTGAGCTCTGTGGATAGCAAATGAAACGAGCAGAAAAGTCAGTTCATGAAAATGTATATTAGTAGACCAAATCCAGGAAAGCATAACTGGTAGAAGCAAAGAGACAAGGTCCAAACTTTGGACCAACTTGTCCAAAAACACAGTCTTAACAGGTGAAACGCAAAAACCTTCCTTCCTTGCCAAACTCAAAATGCTTACAGGTGTGTTTCATGAGGACTTCTGGGATTTCCTCAGCCCTTTGTCAGAGGAGTCCTGGAGAAGAGATGCACAAACCCTGGAGACATCTAGTGTAAGGCCATCAATCCTGCATTGACACTGGATAGTTGAAGCAACTCGGCCTATGAAGAAAAGATTTGTTCTGCCATCTGTCTTTGGGTAAGGAGAAGCAGAGGCTGCTACTGCTCATATTTTGCTGATTCCAGTTTATGTTGCTCTCCAGCAGCTGTTGAATACTGGGAAATGCATTTCTGGAGTCAGTGGCATTTGACAGGAGTTGGTTAAAGGGAGGCATGTGGGGAGGTGGCATTCCCGGGGAACTATATTGTTCATACCATTACAAAGGAATAGTGTCTCCTGGTGGGTGTTGATGGCAGCAAAACCTTAGCCAGCAAGCCTCTGAGCACTGTTTTGGGACTACTTTCAGGTTCAAGCCGCTGCTCCGTTACTGTCCAGAATGATTAATTCTCCATAGCTCAAGTGCAGTTTTTGAAGAAGTTCCTCAGGCATCCCTACTTAGCTTTTTGCTGTCTCCTCAGGTAAGATGGATAGTCAGCTGCTGTTTGAACCTAAATTGCAAGCATCCAAGCTAGCACAGCTGACAAGGTACAGAAAAATTGTACCAAGCAGTCATCCTTTAGCCCACAGTCTCTTAGTCAAAGATTCAGGCTTGAAATATGGGACAGTGGTGTTAGTATTTCTTCCAGTTTGGGAATGTTTTGCAGGTGTTGCATTGTCTTACAAGTTTGCCGTGGATGATACGGGTAGGTGCTGCAACCTGTAAGAGTTAGATGCTAGTAGAAGAAAGGCTTGTCCCAAACAGGGAGGTTGGCAGTGAGAACAGGCAAGAGCTTCTGCAGGAAGGGAAGTTTTCCAAGACTGTGGACACGGAGCAACTGTCAGTATTGCCATTGAGCTCTTAGCAAAGAGCCTTAGCTCACTGGCCTCCGTGCTCTCAGGGCTGTTCAGATTGGCAGTGTCTGGGTCCATGGCAAATTAATCTGAGAAATACTGTATATTTGTGTTTGTAGATCCCACATTATTGACTTATTCCTTGGATGTCCTCAAGATTCTTGCTCTTGGCACTGCAGTATTTCTAGTTCCTGCAATGCTCCTTTTGTACGTACTCTATGGCCGTAGTGGTTCTTGTTGGGGGTCTCCTATGTCCTGATGATACCGCATGATGTAGATCCTGATGGTGATGTATGTGGTTCAAGCACTAGTAGAGATAATCACAAGTAAGAAAATGTGTGAGAGAAGGGGAAAAGAGGATCCTCTTCTGAAAGCATCTTAATCCTGGAAATGTTGAGCAAAAAAGAGCAGAATCTGTGGATGAATCTCAGTGGTGATGCTGGAACTTCTGAGATGAGAAAAGGCATCAGAGCAGTTGTCTAGAAGTTAACATTTGAAGGGCCAACTGGATCCAGAGTGGAAAGTTGTGGACAAATAGTTTAAGAATACTTGAAATAGATAAATTTATCCTTGATTCACCAGAGAGTATTAGACACAGATGGAATAAAACTGTAGGATATTTGGGGGTTTCCATCATGTGTCTAGGTAAAATCAAGCTAACAGCTCAGCTTTTTTGTTCCTCCTACGTACGTAATTCATAAGCTCCCTTAGACACTGGAGTTAGGTCCCATTTTAAGGGGTTGTTCTGCTTTAATTGAGAAAGGCAGTTAAATGCCACAGAAGCTACTGTGTTGAAAAGTTCTAGAGGCTTATTTTTTCTTTAATGTATAGGTCTAGTCTTCAAAGATGCTGGCAGCAAGTGAGATAAGGGTGAACTGAATGTAATCTTCTTGGCTTACTTGAAAAGCTTACCTAAAATAAGATACGGAAAACATGGTATGTTGGGATGGTTTGTTCAGCTCTGCATTGTAACAGCAGATGAAATTGCAAAAATAAGATAAATTTTGGAACCGTTAAATTATTTTTAACCCTATTTCTTGTAAAGCAATCCTAGAATTGCTTTCATTCCTATAGATAGCTTTCTGCTCAATACCAGATCTGCTAGAAGTACTTCAGAATACAAAATAAGATGGAGCTAAAGCATTTGAGGGCAGTGAAACTGCGAGATGCTTGTGTTGCATCTTGTCTTTGAATGGGTGTTGCATGATTGTGCAGAAACACTGCAGTGTGATTCCCCTACATCTTTCATTTCGATGTGAAGAGGAGGAGAAACAGGGTATAGACAGAGACTGCAAAGTAAATATGTTAAAATCTTGTGATCAGAATACAGGTTCCCATCCAAAGTCCTGCCGGCTGTATTTAGCTCCCAAGACCATACATAAAAGCTTGCAGTGTCCTTCCAGGCTTGCTCTTTTGTGAAATAACCCTGTGAAAGGATAACAGCCTAGATTAGTTGATTTGGCAAAACAACCTCTAACTGCTTCTTTTTTTTTTTTTTTCCTTCAGCCACTCTTCTGTTAAGTACTGTATTTAACATGGCATTTTGGAAGTGGTAGAAATGTACTTGTAAGTTCATCCATAATGAACTTCATTTCCTGGAAAGATGTGATTTACTCTATGCTGAAGCTGACTGTGCCAAGCCTGTTTGATATGTCCAGTTACTCAGCTGAGAAAAGGCTGGGGTGCATGACACTATTACTCTTGCATTTTAAATGTTTTACTGATAAGAAGTTGTATGGTACACTTCTGTGCTGAACTGCACTGCTACACTTGATGACAGGTATTGGCTGGAAATTCTGTGTTATTGCACGGAAGTTGGTTTGAAATGTCAAAAGTAGAGTTAAGATTTTACCTTACCTGTTCACAGTAACGGATTTAATCTTTTTTTCTTGCTCAAAATGCGATGTTGACTCTTTGTCATTGCATAGCGGAGAGATTTCGGGGTGTGAGACTTATCTGTGGAGGGGGACAAGGTTCTCTGGGTAGGAATAGCTTGGTTTAGCTTATTGGAGCATGCAGAGCAAAAAGTGAACCCTTCCTTACGTTGCATGAATACATTGCTACAGAAGTGGAGTCTGTTTTGTAGACAAGACCGCTCTAGAACTGCGGGTTGCATGCTTGCTTTGGTGAAGTCAATCTTCTCACCATTACAAATGCTCTCAAAGGTATCAGTGGCTTAATACAGTTCACTTTTAATCTTCATGGATCCATATATACCATGGGTATATGTAAACATTATGGGCGTGTGTGTGTGCGCGTATGTAATGTAGCACATGCCATACATATCATTTCCTTTAAGATTTAAAGGCAGAATTTGTTCTGTTGAAGTCTGAGGTCAGCAAAACTAAGGACTAAGGTTTCTTCTCAGTGCCGTAATTTACTGCTGCTCCATGCAAGCCCCCGGGCTCGCTTTTATCACTCTATGACGGTGAACTAATGGCATCTCCTAACTGTCTCTGAAGCCCTGAATTTCTCATCAGTTTTCATTCTTAGTATAGCTCAGGAAGCACTCACAGTGCCAAAAAGAAATAAATACTTCAGCAAGGTGAATTTATTCAGGGCAGATTGTCTCATTCTGGTGCTATAGATATTAATGCTTAATCAATGCTTTAGCTCTTAAGAAAGAACAAGCGGAAGGAGAAAAATGTGAAATAGTTTTTTGCCTGGATGCAGCCTAGAGAAAGGTGCCCTCCTTGGTAGGAAATGTTGAGGTACAACAGTTTAATGCTGGCATAAGACATACAGGGGACTTAAATGTTGGCTGTTTCGTGTTATGTCTTGAGTATAACCTGTGCCATGGCCTGTTCAGCACCATGTTCATAGCTGATGTAGCTTGAACATGTAGCTATTGATGTAGCTATTCTACTGGCATATGTTAGTCTTGTATTTTAACTCAGCAATACAGGTAATGGATAAATACTGCCTCCCTAATTTACAAAACAGCTATACTAGATACAAATCTAGACTTTTTTTTTTTTTTTTAACCAGGATTTGAGAAAAACAGTGTAGATTTATATGTGTAAAGTTGAGAAAACTCTAAAACTAGCTATGCCGTAGAAATGTGTCAAGAATTAAAACAGTGTGGCTGTTTAGTGTATACTTCTAGAATTACTCTTATAAGTCCTTGGAGGATTTAGGGCAAGAACAATTATCAGTAGTGCTTAGTAGGCAGACCTGAAGCAAAGCCATGGTAAATGCCATGTCCGGTTAAAAGTCATGAAGTGTGATAAATAATCAGACGTGATCTTTGTTACAATTTTCTCGTTGTTCTGTTACCTCTGAATATTCAGAGGTGTCAAAGGTTTTTAAATGGTCAGGGTATGGTTTCTACATTTGCACAAAATATTCAAGTAGAATAGATGATCTTAACGTTGTGGTGTTAGGATTCATTGACTCCATAGTTGATTCAGCAAGTGGCACTGTGATCTCAAACAGCTCTGCTTTTTTAGAGTAATCCCAACTTCATTAGCATGCAGACTAAAAATGTTGTGAAGACGAACACCGCGGTGACTCCCACTATAAGTGAAGTCGTCTGAGTGATTTCTGCTTACTGCAGGAATATATTCAAACTTGGTTTTTCTCATTCCATTCTGTAAGAAGTGATAAATTGAGAATAAGTAGACTACAGCTGATACCACCAAGATAAATGAAATGTACTGTACTTGTTTACTAAAACTAGCTGATAAATTATGTGCAAAAGTGTTAACCTGCAAGAGGAGAACGTCAGAAACAATTGAAAAGAATTGGATAAGTATCCATTCTATTTAAGAAAAAGAAAGAAAACATTTTGTTTGGTGGTTGCCAGATATAAGCTAACATTTATGCGCCTCGTGTGTATGTTTCATTGCTACAGCTGTTGGGATTCATCATACAAGTGTATCTTTTACTTTCTGAATATCTCAGTTCATTAGACAATGCTGACTTTAGAAGATTATGATCTTATAAACTATTCCAATTTGACTTAGAATATGTTACTAAATATTTGATTCCTGAATACCTAAGCTAAGCACCATCAACCTTAAAATATCTTCTCATCCTCTGCTTCCCCCTGCACAGACTGTGGATTTTCACTGTATTGAAGTAGAGTAATTTTCATCCTATAAAGAGTAAGATAAAAGGAGAATGGAGACAACCTTGAGCATATCTTTCTGTACTGAGAGTTTACACTAGGTGGCATGCAAGGAAAGCCAAAAGCACGAACCTGTCTTAAAGTTATTGAAGTTAAAATCTCAGACTTGTTTCAGGATGTTTTTATCTTGTCTTTTGATCACTTTTAAATGTCTTTGCAGGTTGAAATGTCCTCTTGCTGGTACAAATAAAAGATTTCTTATAAATACCATCAAAAACACGTTACCGTCTCAAAAAGAACAAGACCAGGAACGTGAGCAAAAGGAAGACAGTAAGGAACCTGAGCCAAACAAAAGCAGGAAGGAAGAAAAACCAAAGAAATGGAGAATTCACCCATACACACCCAGCTTTCAGTCCAGAAGGAGAGTCAGCTACTCTCCTCCGAGGCACCGGAACAGAAACCAGCACACAAAGGATAAGCGTGAAGAGCGATCAAGCAAACGATGAGGAGAGTGATGAATATGTGTTGTTACAAGCCAGGAATGTCATTGAGTGTCGGACTGCAGGGATGTCTCAGTTTTTCAGGAAAAGATGCTGTTCAAAACTGAATTTTGAACCGAGTTGCTTGTGTGAGAAATAACTTTGAGGTAGCTTTAGAAAATATTTCTTTGCGACCTGTAAGAGAAAAGCAAAGTGCAGCATAAATCTTTCAGCTGTTTTAGGACAGACATTCCTTTCCCTTTGCTCCATTCCTCTTTCCCCTTCTGACTAAGCTTAGGGTCTTGGTGATGGAGCACGAGACGTGTCACTGTCCTATACAACTAGTTTAGTTATGTCCCTCTTTTGGAAATAAATTTAAATTAAGCAGAAATTTATTTATTGTGCAAAGTTGGCAGAACTTCTTTGCTGCTAACCAATAAAGAAGTTTTGTGTGTTTGGGTTAGTTTAATTCTACTGAATCTAGACGAAGGGAAAGCTGGTCAGTGCCTGGCCAAGCACATGCATTTTGTATAGAATATAAGAGTTTGCTTTCTTTAGTATGAAAAGAACAAATTTAAAATGGGCACCACTAGTTTTGCTTCCCAAGAGGAACTACCAGGATATACTGCTTTTGCTTGTTGTTGTATATTCACAAACCTGTCATAGATAATAATAAACATTACTCCTGAAAAGCCATAACTGCAATAATTGTCTCTGTTTAGACTTCCCTCTGTAAGGAAATGGTTTGAACAGTCTGTTGTCATGGTGCTTTCAATACAAACCTTGAAGACAAAATTATCGTGTTCTCTGTCCACTGCTAGGAAGTTTCCAAGGAAATGTGTAATACTAGAAATGCAGAGGTGGAGGTGATACTTAAAAACAGTCAAATGCTCACTTTCCAAGCCTGTGTGACAATTCTGTAGTGGTACAGTTCTTAAACTTGTGACTTGGAGCACATACAATACACATCGGCGTACTCTACATCTCACTTCTGTTTGTGTTACAATAACAAACTTCCGTGTGAAATATTTTGTACTTCAGTATTCTCCAAAATAATTGTTTTGAACATAGGTTTCCGTTTTTAAGTGTGTTGACAATAAAATGGAAAATGTTCGTTAAAAGTGCTTTGTGGAATTAATGTTCTTAGTGGGTTTCTTAACTGGCATGGGCCTCTCTGAAGGGAAAGGAGGACAAGGACTTCATGGTCCTTCAGTGTTGTGTCAGGGCAAGAGTGCCACCTATGGGCTTATCTATACCTCGTCTTGCTATACTTACCTGTCGCTCTTGGAAGGACAGCGTTAGCTGGGAGGTGGGGAGACCAAAGTGGAGATCTGCTGTGGCCGAATTTTGATGCACGAGAGCTGGGAATTACTCTTCCGAGTCATGGGAGGGTAGTGAAGCCAGCGCTGAGCCCACTGGTGGGTTCCAGGGCCAGCTTATCTAGCAAAGTGGGATACTTTCACATTTCCACTGAGGAGCTGTGGGTAGTGTCTGTATTTTCCTGCAGGAACTGTAACACTAGAAGACAAGACCCAGCCTTTCAGAAAAAGTCCAATTATTTAAGTGGGATCAGTAAAAAAGCAGTATCTTTGGAGAACGTATGACTATCTTAAGTTTAAATAAGCAGATGTTGTTTACAGTCCTTATTTTACTGGACACTGGTTTTGTTCTTAATAATCCCTTTTGGAAGGACAGCACCTATTATACTAACCCGGCTCTGCTGCAGTGACAGTGCTGGATGGATGTGGCTTTGCAGCAGAGAATTCATCTCACTGTTAGTCAGGACTGGGACTGGAGTTCCACAGAACAAACCCCCATGAATTCTTGCTGGTTTGGCTTGAGGTGATAACACGGTGTTTTGAGAGCTTTTCCACACCCCTTTAGGATAACTGCTGTTGTTGATTCCGCATTAATTTAAGCCAGGTTTTCAGGTAGGGAAAGTGATTAGAATAAGCTTTCAAATTCAGTCTTGCTTATTGATAGAGAGTGCTTCACTTCAATGCTAGAAATGCTCAACTAGAATATCTGATGTGACCTAAACCAGATAGCCTGTCTTCTTCACTGGTGGTAGATTCATGTTTAATTCCACTTTTTTTCTGATTTATAGAATATACGTGAATTACTAACCTTTCATTGGTTGAATCTGTATTTTAGTGCTGTCTTTCGTAAGTGTATATAGTAAAAACAAAAAAAACCTGCTGCTTATTAACTGTTCTGAAGGCAAATCTTCACCTGCTGATCACTTTTTCAATAAATAATTGGGTGCATAAAGCCAGGTATGTATTGTGTCTGCAGTTGCTCATACTGTACAGCACCAGCATCACATTTATAGTGTCTGAAAGAAAGGATTTAAACCCTGAAACTTAAAGCTTGAACGTGACTTTTCAAAACGTGTTATCAACTGCTGTTAAAAACTCAGACCACTTGTTACTTGTAAAAGTGCCTAGTCCTTAAAATAAATACATCAATAAATAAATAGTGTGTTCTTGGTCTCCACTTCCCATAGTAGTGCGTTGCAACCTACTCACGTGGGAGAGGAATCCACCTCAGGTTAATGCTGCTGCAGTGATACTTTGGAGGTGTTTCTTGTTTATCTGTGAGCTACTAATGTCTTTGTTTAGTTTCAGTGCACACTGTACAGATAACAGTTTATTCAAGTGAGGCTGTTGTCTTGCCATAGCCACAAGAACTTGTTAATTACACTTTATTATGAGGTTGGACAGAAGGCCTCCAAAATGTTCATTTTGATCAACCTGATACTGAATGTAGATCACAAAACGACATCAGAGAGAAGGAGAAAACATTTTATGATTGAGCCTTATGAAATATTTTTATTAGTTTTCACTGTCAGGGATGCAGTAACATGCAGTTCTTACATTCATTGTACAAACTCTTCTCTTTTGTAAATCCAATTTGAATTATTTACAGTGAATCATGAACGTCCAAGAAAAGCCCAACAGATTTCACGTATAACACAACTTAAAGGCAAAAATACACCCTGTTTCTTAGACTGATCCACTCTAAAACAGAAGTTTCTGGAGGTGTAGTTGTAGAAGCGTTCCTGAGTGATTATGAAATTTCTACAGAAAACTAGTTAACAAAAGAGATGTAAATGTTTGAAGGTCAATGGAATAATGTAGCAGGAGGGGGTTGCTTTTCCTGCACAAACAGAACTGGGTTTTGTGTTGTGGCTGCACATTGATCACAGAGAAACATGTTTCTTCTCCTGCCCTATCTGAGCTCTCGTTAATAATTATGTGGTTTCAGTTAATTAGGCTGGAACAACGCAAAAGTAGACTTGCTTGGATAAGTAGCAAGGAAACCTATTCGGATTGTGTTTGGAGAAGGATTTTACTCATTTTATCAGTGGAGTCACTGATCCACCAAATCTTTATTCATGTGAGTGATCTTTGCACTTGCAAATAATCCTGTTGTAGCTCACCATCTATGAATGAAACTCTTGTCTGCATTAATATACACTCTTTGTTTTAGTGACTGTCAATTGGAAACAATCAAGAGTACATGTTGAAGAGGGCATAGCTCCAAATAAAAAAAAAAAAAAAGCCTTTAAAAATTTTGCAAACTACATATATTCACACCCTCATTTCCAGATACAATAGTCTTAAGACAGAAAAAAACAAATACTTTTATGCCAAGTATTTAGCAGCCTTCTCAGAGTATCAAATGGACACTGGATGTATCTGCATTATTTATTTTACATCAGTTCAATATTGCTTAGACTCTAAATTTACCAAATACTGTTTTAGTAACTCTCAGGCCGTCACCCCACACCTTATAAAATGCTTCTAGAAGTCTGCATCTATATTGAATCTCAAAACATTGAATCTCCACCTGTATACAACAGAAATAAACTTTTGTTTGTAAGGGGAAGCAGGAGAAATGCTGTTCTTACCAAAAATTGCTGTCCATACAATATTCACAGCTACCCGGAAGTATGAGCTTTGCGTTATGACTGGAATGTTGAGCCAAATAGTTGAGGCTACAGAACGGCGCAAGTTCTGTTGTAGTTGTCCCAAGAGCATCCCGTGTGGTTTATATTGAGATCGCATAGGGCCGACCGCACAAAGGCTGTGTGAGAAGCGGTGTGACGGCCTGGGGAGGGGCTGTCGTCCCCTGCAATGGGAGCGTAGGTCTCCGGAGGAGAGTTCAGTTCCCCACCTACAGCTCCCTGATGGGATCTTAGGCAGGTTTTCTCATCGCTCTGGGTACGTCTGTGCCATAAAGAATAGGTTTTGCGCGACGATGAGCACTGTAGGCTGTGTTTCTCACCCACCTGCTGTCCTCCCGGCTGCTCTGCAGGTGGCCATCAGCTTTCCCGTGTGGCCACGTTTGACAAAGTCCCACGGGCTTGTGCAGCCCTGTGGCCTCCAGACCCCGTAGGCCCCACTGCCACGAGCCTTGACTGTGGATGTGGACAAGCCACAGCCACCACAGCTTTGGCAGTAAGCAGAGCATAACTGGGGCTTAATTTCTCCCCTACAAATGGGAATTTGAGATGTAGGAATACCCAGCATAGATACGTAGGGTTGCTTTGAGAAAACAGCATCACAGCCTCGTGTCGATAACCTCAGGCATTCTGTATTGCCCGTAAAGCACTATTACGGGCTGGAGTATGGTATGGCAGACTCACACATTCTGCCATCTCAGTGTCATTGCAGGCTGGAGCATGGTCACAAAAAGAGCATTACAAGCATATGACACTGCAGTCACAAAGGCAAAAATCAAAACTTTGTCAGAAGGTGAAGGCGATGGCGTCCTTAATGGTTTGAATGAGAAAAAGCTGTCTAGACCACAGTAAAAAGACAGTGTAACTGAGGGTTTAATTGGACTCTAAGTCTCAAAGTACAACCCCAGAGAGCTGACGGACTCTTCCTAGTGAGCAGAAAGTAAATCCTGCTCTTCTCTGTCACCCTGCCATCTGCACTGCTTCAGCTTTGCGTGGAAGGAACCATGGCTCCTCCATCTCACCCAGGTCATGTTTCCTTGGGTGGCAGATGCAGCACAGTGAGAGTCTTCCCTGCTCTCTCATCAGTCCTGACCCATCTCAGGTCTGTGCTGAGGTGGCAAAGATCCTTAACGTTTGTCAGCCTTAAGGCTAAAGGCACAAGCGCTAGAACTTGGTAGAGTTGACTCTGATGCTTGTCACAAACATACAGTCATTAGAATAATAAAGAAAAACTAACACATACTGTAGCTAAGCTACTTAATCTTTTAAAATCCTTTTAAATTGTGTGTTTAGCGGTTTTAGTAAAGTTCACCTTGTGGAGATCCTTCCTTGGTTTGTGCCTGCGTGGTCACAGCTCCAGCGGGTTGTCCACAGCAGGGCTCCAGCTTGGGGGAGTTCGATTTTGTCATGGAGGATCTGAAAGAGGAGCATGAACATAGGACCATGGTACGAAAGGGAGAATGCAGGGATGTGGGTTGGTGTTTGCTTGGGCAATCAGCAGCCGGAGTAGTCTTAGCGTGGTCTCACTTCTCCCGCCTGCCAAGCAGGAGCACACATATTTACCTCCAGCCGGGCATGACCCTGGTCCTCTGCTCATCATGAAACCCATGACCCAGCCAGGCTGTCTGTACTTTCCTGGTGCACATGGACAGGAATGGGGAAAGACTGCAGAAAGTGCTACAGGAGCAATATTACACACAGCTGAATATCAATTGTGTAAGTACAACCA